CCATTTAACACTGGTTAAAAGTATCTTTGTCTTCTTAATATTTAGCACTCCTATTTAATATGAGTTTACTCTCTATTTTTAATTTCATTCCAAGGTCTTCTAAGACTTTTTTATTTTCAGCTACCCAAGGGATATCATTTACATATCTGAAATGGTTTGTGTTTCAGCCCCCTCTTGATTCCAACTGTCATCTTCTGCAATCCTGCAATTTGTATAAAATATTTGCTGCATAAGATAAAAGATGCAAAGAAAATATCCGAGTGTAAATAATTTGTTTGGACATTATGCTTGAATATAGGCTTTTCTCTTCCCATAATACCGCTGAAGGATCTCTTGCCCAAAGGCCTTGTAATATGTGAGCAGGGAGGAATATTTATGCTCTTTGCCCACCCAAGAAAAGTTTTAATAACCAAGTAAAAAAATAATATTAATAAAATGCAATGGGGATGCATCTCTTGAGCCCTCCCAGTTGCTTCTGACACTTCCAACTTCAGCGGAAAAGATTGAAAGAAAAAATTGTCACAGGGCAGAAGGCATTTTTTTCCATTTATCTACTTATGTAGGAAAGTAATAAGGCACCCTATTTAGGGTTGACTGTGTGTGTAGCATCTAGCTAACATTTTTAGGTAGAGGAAAAAACCATTCAGGAAACAGGATATAATTACAAAACAAAATAGTCATGTCAAATAACCTGGATACCATTTTTTTTTAAAGGACCTTTTGGAAACCAGAATTAATGACTAGGTGGAAAATGTTTTACTCGCTGGAGCTCCTTACCATCTCTCTGGTGAAGCCACTAAATATGTAACACCAAGCGGTTTATTGCAGTGGCCCCCAACATTTTGGGCACCAGGGACCGGTTCCATGGAGAGAGGTTTTTCCACAGACCTCATATCCCAGAATTCCACAAGCAACCTGGCCATTGATGACAATTTTGGGAACTGAAGTCCCCACCCTCTTAGATGTTACTACTATTGGCAAACACTGATCTAGATACTGTACTACATGAAGCAATAATCTTCTAGGACAGAGGTCCCCAACTTTTTGGACACCAGGGACCGATTCCATGGAGAGAGGTTTTTCCACGGACCGGAGGGGGTGTGGTTTTTTGTGCTCCCTGCATCCCTTTTGCTTGTTTGTGCGGACTGGTTGCTGGCATGCCGCGGCCCGGTACTGGTCCATGGACCGGGGTTTGGGAACCCCTGTCCTAGGATGTCTTTCTTATTTGAGGATTATTTTTATTGAAATGAGAAAAAGTTAGCCCTCCTTGGAAACATAGGTGGGAATTAAACTGTTAAAGAACATGAGTTTCCAAGCAAATTAACTTCCACTTTTTCAAAACTGCTTGGTATGTCGTGACCTGTTACAGCTGCTCTACATTCTGGAACGCTGTCATTTCTAGAAGATGTATCTAGAGACAGGATATGAATTGTACCCCCTTTCAGTCAATATAGATTTGAGGTCATCCTTGTAAAGTGTGTGGAATTTACGATGGCCCAGCTGACACACATACAGCTGTACCGTTGAACTCCACGGTAATTACGCCACATTATATTAGAACATATGATATAATTTAACTTGGCATAAACGCATCTTTCTTTGCCTATGCAAAGCTCATCGTTTTTGCAAATTACACATTTGCACTAGTAAAGATAATTCATAGCTCGGCTGCAAGCATAAAAATGATGGAGCATTTCCTTTTTTTTTTGGCCCCATCATTGATCTTTCGGATTTTACTGTTTGATAACATGAATCACGTTTATTAGCCAAGTGCTCATCATAAAGAATGTAGAATGCTTCTCTGCTGTTATCTTCAATTAAGATACATTTTTTCTCCCTGCCATTGTCTCTTACGTGTCAATGAAATATTATGGATTCTAATTGGAAATCAAGTTAATGAATTCTTGGCATTGTCAATAATCCAGACAGACTCTCTCAACTATACTTCCCCTTCACCAGTTTGCAAAATAATGTAAGGAGGAGGAATTAGAGAGAAAGACATTCCTTACACTAGAAATCTCCTAACAGTGATTTGAGGTATATGTAAAAAAAAAAAAATTGCCGTAGGGTTTAAATCAGTACATCTCAACCTTGGCAACTTGAAGATGCGTGGACTTCACCTCCCAGAATTCCCTAGTCAGCTATGCTACACCAAACTAAAGCTGCCCAAGTTGAGAAACGCTGGCAAGAAAAACCAAATGTACAGGTATAGTATAGGGGGTACCTTGCTTAATAGTAGTAACTGTGAGAGGGATCTCAGAGTGGAAAATCACTTAAATATGAGCCAGCAGTGTGCTGCAGCTGCCAAAAAGAGCCAACACAGTGCTAGGCTGCATTAACAGAGGGATAGAATCAAGATCACGTGAAGTGTTAATACCACTTTACAAGGCCTTGGTAAGGCCACACTTGGAATACTGCATCCAGTTTTGGTCACCACGATGTAAAAAAGATGTTGAGACTCTAGAAAGAGTACAGAGAAGAGCAACAAAGATGGTTAGGGGACTGGAGGCTAAAACATATAAGGAACGGTTGCTGGAATTGGGTATGTCTAATTTAATGAAAAGAAGGACGAGGGGGGACATGATAGCAGTCTTCCACTATCTCAGGGGCTGCCCCAAAGAAGAGGGAGTCAAGCTATTTTCCAAGGCGCCTGAAGGCAGGACAAGAAGCAATGGGTGGAAACTAATCAAGGAGAGAAGCAACCTAGAGCTAAGGAGAAACTTCCTAACAGTAAGAACACTTAACCAATGGAACAACCTGCCTCCAGAAGTTGTGAATGTTCCAACACTGGAAGTTTTTAAGAAGAGACTGGACAGCCATTTGTCCGAAATGGTGTAGGGTTTCCTGCCTGAGCAGGGGGTTGGATTCAATGACCTCCAAGGTCCCTTCCAACTGTATTGTTGTTGTTGTTGTTGTTGTTGTTATTGTTATTTATTTATTTATTATTATTAGTTCTTGTCTATTTTTACATCAAGGGAAGAGACTTGTGAAGAGTTGGCCAGGTTCAAGGGAGAGAATGAATTTTCTTCCTTGATGTCTATAAATCAAACCAATCTTTATAATGGTCATAGGTCAACATAAGGATGTCAATAGGATTATATATTTTGCCCGTATATAGATATTGGCAGAGTTCACTTGTTGCATCAAACGTTAATAAGATTGATTTTTCTTTGGCTTAATGTACACTGCAGAACCAGTCATTGGTGATATATAAACCATGATTCAGGGTTTAGTCTGTTCTGGGAGCCCAGCCAGGGGTAGCTCTTAGTTCAGTAAAATACAGTTCAACCATGACTGATTGCAACTTGTGATGCAACAGACGCCTTGCAATAGAAAATGTATCCAACCAACTGCATTAGATGCTAGAAGATTATTGAGATCTGTTAGTCTCTGCATTTTATATCTGCAGCTCACACACACACCCCACACACACAAAAATCTAGACGCTCTGCCTGGATTAGTGAAAATTTGCTAAGAAAGTCTAATGTATAGAAAATGCTTTATGTCAACAGCACTCACACACTTAACTTATTTTCATAGTTTTCTGTTGAAAAATAAATGTGCCCCAGTTGGTGGATATCCTTCCCTCCTTCCTGCTTAGAGATTTGCAGACTTTGTTAAATTCTCATGCTGTAAATAACACAGCAGGCTCTTTTCACTCAATTAGGAGGTTTGCAAATTAATTACAGTTGAAAGGAATTACAAACCAGAGCTCCTGATTGGACATCATGTATGTACTGGGGCTAGCTGTTTAGATCCAGATTGTTGCTTTGGCTGGACACATGATGACCAGGCTGAGATATACAGCTGAGTGTCATCAGCATATTGATCAGTAGCTTTAAATGTACATTATTCTCATATAGGTTATGTCTGATGATTTTTCCTTTGTGTTTTATTCTGGTTAATTGCCTTGTTTTATTAATAATTTCCATGTGTCGGTGGTCAGTGTTCCAATCCAGGTGGACTACATATCCAAAGTGGTCATTGTTGACCCCCAAACGTTGATGGGTGTTCCATTGTGGTTGTCGTTGTTATTATTATTCCTATTATTAATCCGTTCACAACAATGTGAAGTAACAGCTGCCAGTTCTTCAGCTGATGTTGGCCTTCATAGGCATAGTGATGTCATAATGTATCGGTGCAGTAAATTTGCTGATCCAAGCCATGTGGCCTTTTGTAATGGACTGGTGAAAATTTTGTCAATGCACAGATTTTTTTAATTGTCCTCCGTGATTTCTTAATAACCACTGGGACCAACATGTCCGATTCACATCATAATCTTTCAGCTTCCTTTTTCAGATCGAAGTAGTATCAGTTAAGTATGTAGTATTTATTAAATTATTTTCATTGAATAAATGTTCGGGGTCGATGAACAATCTTCAGGAAGGGGTTGAAGACTTGAAGAGTTTGGGGATCCCTGAGATCCGATTTGGGGTGGGTCATCTGTACTTCAAAATAAAGAAATAGGAGAAACAGTCTCATGAGTCTACTAGGTGAGAGGGGAAAAATTGTTGGAAAACCCCAGATATGTCAGCTGCCATCATATGCTTGCTTGTGCTTTGCTGCTATGTGGTGACAGACCGCCATGAACTGTGCGGAGGGAGAATGAAGGGTGGAATGCTTGGGGAAATGAAAGTAAGTGCTGTATCTCCTTGAGATGCTGCCTCAATGTTACCCAGCTGGAAGGAGGGAGCCACATACCCAACTATGCTTGGACTGACCGTTATGAAAACATCTTACCTGAACCTGATTGGTTAAATGGGGATGGACAATGAGAGGCAGTTAAGGGAGGGAAAAGTTGCACTTAGGGATTTTGATGCACGATTCTCAGTTCTGTCTTTGCAATACTGCCATACACTTAATCGCTAATAAACTATACCTTTCTCAACAAATGGAGCCAGGGATTGTTTCTATTTAGAGGTGTACGTTGTGGCAGATTCAGCTAGCTTTCTTTAAAAGAGGGGAACAATCAATGTTCTATATGCTGTTTTTTTTTTAAGGTGGAAGTGAATCCTCGTGGGATAAAGAGAAGCTTCAGTCACCGATCCCGACAGGATCTCATCACGGGATTAGCCACGCGACACTGTCAGGGCAGGCCAATTTGGCGAGCGCCCACCCACTTAGTCCTTTGCAACAGAACCATCTGCTCACAAACAGTACGTATGCAAACACAAACATCCCAGCATCTTGGCGTGTTCAGAAATGTCCTGGGGCCGGTAAAGATACTCTCTTTAATTTCTAATTTCATTTCATCTCCAAGAAAAGGATGAGGGACATGGAATAGTCTGCCAGGTGCCCAAATAACCTGAGTACTATATTTTTTCACCTATTGGGGGAGGCAGAACTATTGATTGCCCCACCTTAAACAGAATATGTGAAGAAAGCTGCAAATGGAACAGTATGGTCTACTGATTAAGGCGCAAGGCTAGAAACCAGGAGACAGTGAGTTCTAGTCCTGCCTTAGGTATGAAAGCTGGTTGGGCAACTTCGGCCAGTCAATCAGAAGATGGTGAGCTCTAGTCAAGCCTAAGACATGAAAGCCAAGTGAGTGACTTTGGGCCTATCACCAGGAGACTGTGAGTTCTAGTCCTACTTTAGGCATGAAAACCAACTAGGTGACTTTGGGCTGGTCACGCTCTATTAGCCCAACCAATTCAGAGGGTTGTTGATGTAGGGATAATAGGAAGAGGAAATAGGAGTTACATTTGCCAGCTTGAGCTATTTATAACGGTAAGAAAAGTAGAATAAAAATAAATAAAACTATTAATCCGTTAATTTACCACCAATAAATTCAGAAGGAATATCACTAGAAAAAGTTGAAAGGATCACACACCTCGGTTCCAATTTACATGAAAGCTGGGACATGGCTGTTGAAGTAAAGACAAGGATTGAAAAAGCTCGAACAGCATTCTTCAAAATGAAAAAGGTCTTCTGCAGTCACGACATAAGCCTAAGACCGAAAATCAGGCTTGTCAGATGCTATATTTTTTCTATCCTGCTCTATGGAGTAGAGAATTGGTCTCTGACAGAAGGCCACCTGAAGAGACTAGAAGCATTTGAAATGTGGATTTACAGGCAGCTGTTACATATAAGCTGGGTTGACAAGATCAGAAATGAGGTGATAAGCCGCCTGGGAAAACCAAGGGAAATCATCAAAACAATTAAAAATTAGAATATTTCGGACATGTGATGCGACACCCAGAAAAATACGGCATACTCCATTTAATCCTCCAGGGAAAGATGGAAGGCAAACGAGGTCTAGGCAGAAGAAGAACATCGTGGCTTCAAAATCTAAGGGACTGGTTTAGACAAAACTCAGCAGCACCTTTTCGTGCGGCTGCTGATAAAAACAGGATCGCCAACGTGATCGCCAACGTCCGATAACGGATGTGGCACAAGAAGAAGAAGAAGAAAACTATTAATGACTTGCATGTATTTTCTTTCCACACTTTTCTTGTGAAAGTGTGGATTGGTAAATTGTTGGCTTCTAGAGGGCCTGATGAGATGGTATATTTGGAAATATGAGATGGCCAAGCTCCTCCTTTCTATACATAACCCCCTTTTTTTTCAATTATCCTTTTTTTTTGGAAGACCTCAGGCAGTACAAGGAAGGGACTCGAAGTTTTAGTTTTGCTTAGCACCTGGTTTGGAGAGTGCAAATCACCTCCGTTTATCTCAGGATTTACTAAGATTGTCTGAAGCATCTTCTGAGTAACTTCTTAGTAGCTGTCTTTACCCTGGTTAACGGTGACTCATGTCAAACTTTGGGGAAGTGGGTTGCTTCCCATACTTTGTTAATGCAACCCATTTGGTTATTTCAGAACAATTTGGTAGTTAATGTCTTGTGCTAATCCAACAAATTGGTTAATTTGGGAACCAGCTAAGCATGTTGCGTTAATGGAGCCACTGAGATGTTGGCATTCAACAGGCAGTTCTCCAGTGATGTCATAATCTCTGTGGGGCAATGAGGTCATTAAAAGCCAGTCATTTCAATCCCATTTAAAAAAAATGTATTCTAGTATTCAATCTTCTTCCTCCATCTTCTCTCTTCTCCCCCTGCATTTACATTTGGAATTTAGGTATTTTTTTTGTGCAGTGTATGCTAATGGAAACTTATCAAAGAGAGATCCAATCTAGAATTAAGGAGGAATTTCCTGTCGGTGAGAACAATTAATTAGGGGATCAACCTATTGTCCAAAGCACCTTGAGAGCAGGACAAGAAGCAATGGATGGAAACTAATCAAGGAGAAATCCAACCTAGAAATAAGGAGAAATTTCCTGATAGTGAGAGCAATTAATTAGTGGAATGGCTTGCCCTCAGAAGTTGTGGGTGCTCCATCACTGAAGGTTTTCAAGAAGAGACTGGACAGCCATTTGTTTGGAATGAAATAGGATCTCCTGCTTGAGCAGGGTGTTGGACTAGAAGACCTCCAAGGTCCCTTCCAACACTGTTATTCCGTTATTTTAGCATCACCTACATTGGGCTGTGATGTTCCTTAATGGAAAATCAGTGCAAACATTTGTCACTGAACTTAGCTGGTTTTGAATAGTCCCCTTTCTTTCTTCCTTGTAACTGTGTTTACCAAAAACAATGGAAGATCACAATAATGTCTGATGGAATTTCCAATTGTTTATAAAATTGGAAGTGATGAACTTAGAAGGGATCCTTTATTCATTCTTCCCAGCCTTGTTGAATGGATCATCATCACTGAAAAAACAGACTTTCCTCTTTCCCCTCCCCCCTGCCCATTCCCCAACGTCAAAAATAGTATATTTTACAAACAAGAAAAAGGTATCCAAGAATGCCAGGGGAGACAGGAAAAACGTTGTGAAATAATGGCGGCCAATGAAATGTGTGAGGAATAAGATATGCATTCTACCATCTTAATTTGAAACCGTCTTACCTGTGAAGACAGGTGGTTACAGCTTATTCTCAATGCATATATTTTTGAGACCATCATTGTGATGCTTATCATGGAATGAGCGTTCCAGATTTCTAGGGAGCTTTTGAGCATTTCACAGTGGCTCACATTAACACTTTGTCCAGTTGTCCATAAGTGGTTAGGGATAGCCGGTTCTTTTCTTTTAGTCGCCTTGCATTATAAAAGCTAACTTTATTGTTACTGTGATTGTTAATGGGGTTTTTTTTTTAAATTGTTTTAATGTTTTACGTGGCATTTTTATTGAATGAGTGCGCGCTGCTTAGAGTCGCCATGGGTGAGGTGGGCAACATGTAAGTTTAATAAATAAATAGCAATAGCACTTAGACTTATATACCGCTTCACAGTGCTTTACAGCCCTTCTCTAAGCGGTTTACAGTGTCAGTTTATTGCCCCCCAACAATCTGGGTCCTCATTTTGCCGACCTCGGATGGATGGAAGGCTGAGTCAACCTTGAGCCAGTTAGGATCGAACTCCTGGCAGTGGGCAGAGTTTGCCTGCAATACTGCATTCTAACCACTGCACCATGCATACATACATACGTACATACTTGCTTGTATCTGTTTGGTGCACTCGTCAGTATTGTCTCGCACAGCAAAACCACTTGGTGACCCAAGTCCACAAAAATATTTTATTTTACTGCCCAATCTGCTGTATATCATTTTATTGCTATTGTTATTGCTGTTGCTGCTGATGCCTTTTCAGTTGTCTTCCACATTGTGACTGGAGTGTTTATCAAATAAGAAATAATAATTCCTGATCTGCAGAAGGTAGACACATTTTCTTCTCTGTCCTCCTCCCCCCCCCTTTTGTAAACCTTTTTAATATATTGTTCCTTAAAACAAGGAAGGGTTGTTACATTCTGTTTGTCATTTGCATGTTGTTTGCATGTCAATCGGATTGTAAAGAGATGAGCAACCCCAGTTCAGACAGATGGTGTCTGGAAGCACTAAAACTCTACAGGGTAGAAGGGAAGATTACGAGACTGCAGGGGAAGAATTAATGGGTGGACAAAGACTGCCATTAGCAGTTGATGTGGGCTGGATGAAGTGAGTGAAACGAGAGATTCTACACACATTCTTTCCGAACCCATCATAGCTCTTGGTGTCTTGTGTAAATATAAACGTAGATGTAGATACAAGGATTTTTCCCAGCATCTCTTCTTGCATCGTGTTGTCTTCCAAAAAATAAGCAGTCTTTGACTGATGAACACGCTTGAGAGCAGATCATCCACTGTTTGGCAAGGCAGTTGTTAAATGAGTCCTCTTTGCCCTGGTTGTTAAGCAAACCACTGCAGTTATTAAGTGAATCATGTGGTCTTTAAGTGAATCTGGCTTTCCCGATTGACTTTGCTTGTCAGAAGTCAAGTCGTCAAGTCATCCATCTTCAGATTGAATCTTTTGAGTCTTACAATCAAGTCAAGTCACAGGGGTCTTTTGAAAGATGGCAATCACAACATTTCTATGATGCGTTTGAAACACCAGAAAACTCGAGCAAAAAACGAAAAACCAAAATTAATTCTCCCTTGTTGTAGGTTGCTTGGATAGAGAAGTGTCTTCGTTGTTAACGTGACCTTCAATTACATATATCTAATTTCTATCCAGGGGGGTAACATCACCACCACCACCCCGGTTTATTTCTACGTATTAAAAAAAACTACCTTATTTTTCTTCTATGTATTAATACAAATTTAGTATTCTTACTCTTGAAGCTAAATTTTAACTGGAAAACATAGAAAATATTTCACGCTCATTGTGGTCCTAATTGACTCATTCCATTAAACTTTCACCCTCTTTCATGGGTGAAAACCCCTGGAAAAATCACTGCTTTTAAATTATTTATGGCCTGCTGTTTTCATGTTTCAGGGATAGATCTGCCATTTATGATGATGCCCCATCCTCTTCTTCCGGTTGGCCTACCTCCTGCTTCTGTAGCGATGGCCATGAATCAAATGAACCATCTCAATACTATCGCCAACATGGCTGCAGCAGCGCAGATGCATAGCCCACTGTCAAGAGCTGGAGCGTCAGTAATAAAGGTAAGACTCTGAACGTAGTCAGTATTGGGTTAGATCAGGGGTAGGCAACCTTGGCTCTTTTGTGACTCGTGGACTTCAACTCCCAGAATTCCTGAGCCAGCCATGCTGAGGGGAAAGGGAGAGGTTTCCAAGCTGAGCCATGCTGGCTCAGGAATTCTGGGAGTTGAAGTGCACGAGTCATAAAAGAGCCAAGATTGCCTACCCCTGGGTTAGATGATGTCACTTCCGCACGTTTCTTCCTGCGCGCAAAAAGCCAGCTGGAGAAATATATATTGTATATTGTAGGAGAAGAGGCAAAGCCTGAAGGGTGGAGTCAAAAGAGGAATGGAGTCATTATGTTCCCAAAGCAGTCCAAGTCCGCCTCCCATTGATTTAGTTCTTTTTTAAAAAAAAATATGTTTTATTGATTTTTAACCTAATCACCTTAATATTTGGTAAACATCATGTCTGCGTTAGTATTTAAAAAAAACAATTACAATTAATTTCTATAATTCTATAGTCCATATAATGGCTTTGCTTGATTATTTTCTCTTCTTCCAATAATATTCTTTTACCAACCTTAAATTAATAGTTATTATTTGAATAAATGATAATTAAATATAGACATTTTTCTCATGTTTCTGCCAATAATAACCACATCAATATAAAGCTTCTTTTCTAATTGCCTCGTCGTGGTAGATCCTGTTTACAGATGAATTCTTTTAACGCTTATCTAGCACCAATTTAGTGAGATTACTCTCAGAAATGAAGAAACAGGACCACACATGTTCCACAACATTAAGGTCCAGTTAGGAAGATTTATTGCTCAAATGTATACACAAGAAACTGGTCAACTAACAATTAGCACTGAATTGGCACTAAATAAGAATCAATGGAATTCAAGAGGGGTTGGACTTAAATTGTTTGTGGGAATGTAATACTCCAGGCTGATTCCTCTCTTGACGCCATCCCTCCAGGCTCCTTTATGTATTTTATGTCTTCCTGATATTAGAGGTTTCTTTTTCTCTCATGTTAGGAGGGATTGGAGTGTGGTTGGCTCCATCATATAAAAATGAATATTGTATGTTATGAACAAGAACAGAAATGGACACATCAAGGAGAAAACCACAACAATCAACAACAGAGAACTTAACAAAGTAGGGAGCTTGCATACAACACTCCCTGTGAGAAGACCCAGGTGTTTTAACCCCTGTGGAAGGACAACAAATTCGGGGTTGTATGGATCTCAGGGAGAGTGTTGTTCTGGAGGGCGGCTGCCTTCTGGACTTCATGAGACCTGTTGGGTCTCATGACCTAGTGGTTCTATCATGCCCTTAGTCCTCTTTCCTAGCTTTCCTGGCATGGATGCCTCCAGGTATGAGACCTTCAAATCCCAACATTCCTCACTGCTGAGAACTCCAGATGCTCACATTGGGAAAGGCTGATCCAGCCAGTTTTGGAAGTGAAAACGATGATCCCTGAGACCAGCAATAAAGGAATGCAACCCAAGCATTCCCACAGGCTCCACCAGAGCATCAGAGCTCTGTCTGATGGCACCCAGGCAGAACGTTTCCATGAATATCTTCATTCGGCCATTTACCTATCAAAGCCCTTTCTGTAAAGCTTTCACTGACCTGCTTCTCTGCCACCAGAAGATCTCGTCTCCTTGAAACTCTTTGAATGAAATGATTTTGTCCTCCACCCCATCAATCACATTTGCTATCCAAAACAAAGCTGTCTATCTCCATCTCCATCTCCTCTCTGCAGCATCCCACCACCTGTCTCTCAAAGGTGCCTGCTCAGCAAAGTTAACATTCAGTACTCTGGAAAGAAATGTCATAACTATGAAATTTGATTTCCTCCGGACAAGAACACTATAAATTAAGCAAAGCCACGGTAGCCAGGTTTCAAAAGTCTTCCTTGCCATCTATAATCTAGCTTAATGTGATTAGCAGCTCCTACTACCACTTCCATAGTTAAGGATGCTGTCAAAAATTCTGTTATAAATCTCTGCCTTCGGGGATTTACAGTCCCGCCGAGAAAACTTTCTCACTGTTTGAATCTGGTTGACTGGGATTTATCCGCAAGATCAGAATTTTAAACAAAAATGTCAGGTGGGTTTATTTTACAAAAAAATCTAAAGTGGATGGAACAGTTAAAAGGAATGGCCTGCTTTGGGGAAAAGCTGATTTTAAAAAAAAACACAGCTGAAATTAATGGTCTTGGTCAAGGTTGACCCTTCCCCTCTTCCACACCTCTAGAAAAGACTTTTTTTTTTTTGGCTAAACAATAAACTAAACTGCTAGTCTCTTTTTAGCATTTTATGGGATATGGGGAAAGGGATTAAGCCTTATCTTTGCAAGGTTTAAGATGACAAGTTTAACACCCCCCTTTTTTTAAAAAAAAAAAAAAGCCCAGGGGTTCTTTCTGGGACATACAAAACCACTGTTTTCATAAGTAATAGTTTCATTTTTTTCCCAATTTCTATTTGTTTGCCACTCTTCATTCATTTTCTGTGAAAATAACCTGGTCATATTAGTAGCTCAGTTGTCTGTTAGCCCTTTGTTATTGGCTCAGCCATTAGCACTTGTACTTAATCACAAATATAGTTCTAACAGAGACTTGAAATAGCATGTCTGCCTTTTAGCCCAGGGAACGTCATTGAATCAGACAGACATGGCATCAAAAAAAAAAAGGACTGTTTTTAATCACGGAAAGGAGATTGCAGTGAGCTAGATGGAGAGAAAAGGCACTGTTGGTTGAGAGGAAACAAATATAGGGTGTTTTTGTCCTGTTCTAGAGGAGTTACCCAACTAGATGATGATGATGATGATGATGATGATGATGATGATGATGATGATGATGATGATGATGATGATGATGATGATAAAGTTGGAAGGGACCTTGGAGGTCTTCTAGTCCAACCCCCTGCTCAGGCAGGAAATTGTCAAGGTTGGACACTCCTGATATATAGCCTACTCCAGTCCTTCTGCATTTTTTTTTGTATATTCATGGATTGACGGAGGTGTTCCCCGTTTCCCTAGTAACACAGTAAGAGTCTGAATATTTTAAAGTAGTGATCAGGAACCACCTTTCCAAATTATTTGTATTTTGTTTGTGATTGACTGTTTACCAGGATCATCTGATGTTCTGTTAACTTGTTTTGTTGCTGTTGTTGTTTATTTGAGCAGGTGGCAGTTAACAACTTGGTGAGAAATGGTCACAATGCAGGGAAATTAGTAAGTGAGCAGCTGGTATTAAAGACTAATTGATGCTGAAAGTAGAGCAATTTTTCAAGACACATAAAATACCGTATAGGTGTCAGTTTCTATAAAAGACTCTCTGGATGGGCCATAGTTCAGCATATTGTACATGTAAGTGATCCTGTGTTTAGTCTCCTCCCCAGTTCAAAATGTAGCAAATAATGGGAAACCTTTTTGCTGATTGGATTAAATAATACTTGGAAAAAATGAACCAATAATTTGTCCCTCTGCCTACATGGCTGAGTGTCAATTTAGAATAGGAAATGATTCCTGCACACATTATCTTTATATCTCCTACTAAATACAAAGTCGTAGGCTAAGTCTGTGAATACTGTGCCAACAATACTGAGCAATATTAAGCCTGTGAATATTGAGCACACATACGATATTTATTGCTCGATTTGATTTGATTTGATTTCTCTTCATCTCAGCTTTGGGTGGCTTATCTTCATGAAGAAGTTTGCTAAAAAGAACTATCATATCTTTTCAATTCCCTTTGAGAAGTCCATCTTGAGATGGTCAAAAGAACTGAAGAGTCATGATGCCGTCTCGTCCACGAGATAAATAAAAAATGTGTTAGAACAGGTTCCATGCTCACTCTTTCTCCCCCATAAAATCAGAAGTTTTGTGGTCTGCTTTTGACCCTCAGACCAAATCCTGGGCTGGCACATTTCCTCTGTAGTTTTCTGCTTCCTTTTTTTCATTAGGAATTTAATGCCCTGCCCTGCAGCCTATCCGTCTGATTGCAAAGAAGAAGAAGCATGGAAACAAACTGGGTGAATAAAATTTCCAGCATTCCAAAAAGGACTGAAAAACATTCCCGTTGGCAGAGAAATGCCATTAAGTCCTTTAGGAACTCATTAATAGATTAACATTTGGGCACGTAATTATAGCTGCAGTGCAAATAAAAATAAACAAGGCAAGCCGGTAGGTCACAATTGCTTTGAATGCTTGGAGATCGATACTGTGAAATATCACATCTGAAGGACAAAGGTCAAATGGATTGTGCCAACACTAGGTAAGCTGTGCATAGACACACAAAGAGAAGAGAAAAAAAATATGCTGTGAGGTTGGCTGGGTTGATTATTGTGAATGAGAGGTGGACCAATTCTGAACTATGGTGAATAAAAAAGGTATGCTTCCGATATTTTGGATCCAATGGGTAGCTGAAGCTGTTGAGAACTGCAATCCAAAATACCTGGAGCATAGTGAGTTTGTTTATTGAATTTAGTAAAGGTAAAGTTTTCCCTGCCCAGTCATATTTGACTGTAGGGCAGGGGTAGGCAACCTTGGCTCTTTTATGACTCGTGGATTTCAACTTCCAGAATTCCTGAGCCAGCCATGCTGGCTCAGGAATTCTGGGAGTTGAAGTCCACGAGTCATAAAAGAGCCAAGGTACCCCTGCTCTAGGGCATGTTGCTTCTCCCTGTTTCTTGGCCAAGGGAGCCAGTGTTGTCCGAAGACATTTTTCGTGGTCATGTGGCCAGTATGGCTATACGCCAAAGGGAACCCGGAATCTGGAATATGGAAAGCAGCAAATTATAATTATCCTACATGTAAATTTACTGCACAGAACTATGGAAATAAGTTAATGATTTATTGTTTGCAAGCTACTATAAAACCCAATAATTGTACAGTCCTGTTGTTGCCACTTGGCCTTTTCGGATAAGAAAATTGTGTACTTCAAGGTAACATTTCTGACTCCATTAGCTTTGATTTTTCAGCTTGACTAATAAGTCACTGGAAAGAAGGGTATAAAATTGCGCAAAT